TTTGGACCTCAGCTTTTGTACTGGCATAGATCTTTTTCTTAGCAGCACAGTTGATGTCTCTCTGCCATGCTTGGAAGGCTTTCCTTTTCTTGTCAATTAGCTGTTGGATCTCGATGTCATTTTCATCAAACCAGTCTTGATGTTTCTTGGTTTGGTATCCAATAGTTTCTTCGCAGGCTTGGATGATGGAGGTCTTCAGCTTGTTCCAATGTTCCTCAACATTTTCGGGGTGTACTGTGGGTAGATGGTTCTTGAGTGCTGTTTGGAGATGGGCTCGTCTGGAGGGCTCCTGAAGGGCTTGGGTGTTCATTTTGCGCCTTGTCTTCCTTCCTTGGAGTCTGCGCTTGGGAGCGATCTTGATAGCCATCGAGGATCGAATTAGCCTGTGGTCAGTCCAGCAGTCGTCAGCACCTGTCATGGCTCTTGTGAGGAGCACGTCACGGCGGTCTCTGGCACGTGTGATTACATAGTCTAAGAGGTGCCAATGCTTTGACCGGGGGTGCTTCCATGATGTCTTGAACTTGTTTTTCTGGCGGAAGAGCGTGTTGGTGATGACAAGGTTGTGCTCCGCACATTTGGTGAGAAGCAGGATGCCATTTGAGTTGCTGTTTCCAACCCCGTCTTTTCCGATGGTCCCTGGCCACAGGTCGAAGTCTCGCCCGACTCTTGCATTGAAGTCCCCCAGGAGGATGATTTTGTCCTCCTTAGGTATCCCCGATAGGACGGTATCCAGCTGACAGTAGAATTTCTCCTTGATGTCTTCGTCAGCATCTAGTGTTGGTGCATAGGCACTTATGATGGTTGCCCGTTGGTTTTTGGCAAGATCGATTCGGAGGGTTGAGAGTCGTTCGTTGATGCCAGTGGGTGCTTCGGGCAGATGTTTCATCAGATCATTTCTGATGGCGAAGCCAACTCCGTGCATTCTTTGGTCTTTTTCGGGCAGTCCCTTCCAGAAGAAGGTGTAGCCTCCTTTTTCTTCCTTCAGCTGTCCCTCTCCTGCTCTCCGGGTCTCCTGAAGGGCTGCTATGTCGATGTTGAAGCGTCCCAGCTCCCTTGCAATGATGGCAGTTCTGCGTTCGGGGCGTTCACTGCCACTGTTGTCCATCAGAGTCTGTACGTTCCACGTACCGAAGTTCATTTTCCTTTTTTGGCCGCAGGGTGGTGACCCCACTGGACGCGGCAGTCCAGTCAGGGATAAGTGAGGCAGACTATGTTTAGGGCACCTTTTCTAGCCCCCTCCCCGTGTGGGGTGAGCAGAGTGGGTCCTAAAAAGGGCTGCTCAGTCGCGGATACAGCTGCCGAACTACTCAACTGCCTCGGACCTTGAGGTAGAACGACTGAGTCCGTACCCACCGCCCATGTGCCAGTCTGTGACTAGGGGCTTCCAGATTTCACAGTCCTGCCCCCGTCGCCACTCGCTGATCGCCATGGGACTTTGGTTGGTTTGTTTTTATTTTCTTTGGAAGACGCCTGTGCGTGGGTTTTTTTAATGTGTGGAGGTCAGTGCACAACTGATCAACACACAGACTTCACAGAGTGAGGTTCCACTGGTGATGTAGTTTAACACAATGACCGTGGCTTCTCAGTCTGTTGCAGCCTTCTTCTGCCTTCACAGCCGTTGTAACATGTGCCATGTTATCCTCCGCCTGCTCCGCCGTTGAGGTCTTTGGGTCTTCGGACTGTGCTTGGTCTGGAACCTCCCCCGCAGCCACTCCTGGGAGTGCACGACTCCAGTTGTTGTGCCTACAGGTTCATCGGAACGCACAAGCCCCCTCACCACGACAAGGTGACAGTCCATCGAGGGGGATGCATACTATCGTCTTGCCTGTACAGCTGCTGCTTCAATAACTCATGTTGCACTCTCCAGTGTAGAAAAGTCATTCCAAGAGTGAAAGGAGGAGAATTACACATGCAATTGCTCATAAATGTAGCCCTTATGTCTATAACTGTCATCCTGCCAGTGACTTACATCCACAAAATCCCTTCCTCAGTTTGGGGTACAGAGGCACACTGACATCCATCCAAAAAAACCTATGGATGGAATGCCAAGGGGAGGGGGGATCAGACAGTGAAAATCCAGTTGCTCTGGACTTCTGGAGAAAGAAAAAGATGGGTACACTCTATTTGAGAACACCCCCCCCCCCATTTCTCTTTCCTTCAAAACTGCTTCTCTATGATCGGAAATATTTTCCTTCTGCCTCCCTTCCTCATTGATAAGCACATCAACAAAGACACCTCCCAGGGCTTAGTAAGGCCAACTATTACTAGGACACAGAAGAAATGCCAAGTAATACTATGCACACATGTAGGATCTCACACATATGCATATATATTTCTCTTTCACACATGAACACCTACCTACACTACTTCACATGCACAAAATGCACATTTCATTAGTACTTTCCTGTCTTAATAGATTCCCACAAACACAACACACAGAGACGGAGAGAACTAGCTTTTAATTGTAAACAATTTTTCTGCCTAAGTATCACTCTCTAATTGAAGGAAGAGTTGGGTGCAATTTACAGTGTCTAATCCTTGTATAGAGAAAATATTGAACTTTTGTCCATCAGATATCAAAAGCATTTTTGGACAACTCTCGTTTACTCAAAATTGCACCTGTGCTTCATAGTTTGTGTTTGTTTCTAAGAATTCTAGATTTCAACTACAAAGAATTATAAAGACTAGTAGCTTCACATTTTTCTTACTGTGGAGTAGAAATCTTTGCTTACTTGCCAGCATATTTTTTACAACTCTTGAAAGCATGCATGATTTTAAGAATGCAAATAGATGCTTTGGAGATTGCTTCAGTTAATAAATTTATTGGTTAACCATGCTTCAGCCACAGATCTCAAGGTAGGTTGCAAAGTAAAACCAAAAACACATGAAAAGATTTCATTAAAATTCATAGGAGCAATACAATGAATAATTCTAGAAGAAAAGAAGAAACGAAGACTATGCCAAATGAGCCTTTCTGTGACGGCAACTCAAAAGACACTTGTGCTCAGAAACCAGGCAATTTTCTCTTCAGATGTTGGACCATATTAGGCTGTCCTTGTTAGGCATGCACCCAAAGCATCATAGGAGAATTTTAATTGGATGGCACAATTTTGTTCTCCTACATGCAAAGTTATTTACTTTTGAAGACCTTTATAGAAATATACTTCTCTTGGATAAGGGCATCATCAAATGTCTTATTTTCTAATCCAGTGTTTCTCAAACTGTGATCCACCAAGCGTTTTGGACTTCAGCTCCCAGAAATCCCAGATAGTTTACCAGCTGTTGGGAATTGTAGGTGCTAAAGTCCAAAACATCTGGAGGAGCACAGTTTGAGAAACTGCCCTACACAACTAGCAATATTTAATGTTCCATAGATTCATGGGAGCTTTACAAAAATATTGAGGGTAATTGATGTACAAGGTACCATTGGAAAGCATAAAAGACTCATGCCAGAACATACTGTAACCTTCTCATTTCTCATATCTCAAAAATAATTAATTAGCAATGTCCTTGGACACATCCACAAAATGACCTTCTGTGAAGTGCAATTCTGCTAGGTTTCCTTCTATGGACTTTATAAGGCAGAACAATGTTATTTAATTACTACCATCACAGCATGCATGTGCCCACTCTGTAAAGTGTTCTCTTTAATACCCTACTGCAGATGTTTTAGACCTCAAAATGTCAAGCCCTGTAGAATTTCCAAATGGCTTTGAACTATCTCTCTTCAATTAATGTTTCATTCCCCAGAGTAAGTTCATTAAAAATCGTATCACTGCAATTAGCAAATTACTCATTGCTTATCTTATTATAAAATTTAATTGCTCACTACAGCCAATACAATTTCATAGCACTTAGTAAACTCCATCTTGAAAGATTTAATATACATGCCCTTTTTCAGCATACCAACATTGTTTGTGAAAATGTGTTTATCACAATATGATGTTTGCCATTTTTCTCCTACTCCTTTCTTTCCCAAATTGTGATTTTATTACAAATTTATCTGCTGTGATAAAAAAAACCCCAAAGGTTTGCATGACTGATCATGTTAAATCCCTAAGTCTTATATGAAAACTCATATTCACTGCAGCATTTCAAAACTGGAGTTTATCCCGAATTGCACCCCACCAATTATAACACAACATAATGCAATATTTCAGTTGTTCTTCTTTAACAATTATAATTAACTTTTAAACAGTCAGTCTGAACTATTCAATCTGGCTGCTTATCACAGTTTCCAGCTAAAGTAAGGAAACATAACAAAGCTGTATCAATAAGAAAATACAGATCCCAGCAATGATATTAATTAATGCTTCATATTGTTTATGTACAAAATATGAAGAAATTCCGATGGTCAACATCTCTACTGAAAACAATGAATCCATGTTGAATTTGTCAACATCTCACAGAGATTAAAGGAAATGTAACTCAGGAAAGCCATTGAAACATTTATTACCAAAAGTCAACCACTGAAAAATATACAAAACAGTTCTCAATGACAAAATGGAAAGAAAGGGGATAGTGATTTTTTTTTTTGGTTCTGCCTGTCTCACAATACCTTGATACATTTGGTATCTCATATCCTTTCCAAACACGTCTCAGAAAGATAAGAGAACATTATCCCCATCTATTCATTTGTTAACAATATGCTAGACAGGGATGAGAGTGACTGCAGGGACAGAGAGATAGAGGCAGTCTTTCAGTGAACTGGGTTTTCAGAGTTTGGGGTTGGATCCAGTTGCTTTGTTTACCTCTGTTTGGACAACCATTTTAACTCTTTTAAAAATAAAAGAAGGAAACGGAAGTCAGCAAAAGATAAATCACAATGTTGAGTACTATGAATGCAAAGTAAAATGCTAGTATAATGTTTGCAGGTTTCTATTTGTGTACACAATAAGTCACTATCTGGACTTTAATTAGATGCTTGTATTCTACTTAATTTTCATATTGTAGTATACAATGAAAGTCTAGAGGAAAAATATGACATCAAGAACATTTACCTGCTAGGAACTAAAGTACAGTCAATGTCTGGCCTTTTTGTTTTGGGAATGGCATAAAGAGGATATCGGTCGCCATGACGGATCAGCGCATGAACGGAAATCAGCTTAAAATAATGAGGTGCATGGCCTGTAAGAGGAAAAAATGTTATTTATTATAACAATCACAGGGAGCCCAAGAAGGATGCCTGCACAAATATACAGCAGTTAGTAACGTATAAAATATGCAATGAAAATTCCTTTAAGAGGATGTTCCATTGACATAACTGGTACACAATCACATATACTTATTTCATTCATTTATTAATACACACACACAAAACAATTATATTCTAGGTGCATTGACAGATGTAAAATCTCAGAAGGTACCACATGTATTGAGTGCACTCTACTAGTTTTACTGTCACAGATGAATACTAACTTACAGCTTTCACTCCTTGTTCTCTTTTCTCACATTCAGAAATAAATAATGATGAAGTTAAGTACCACCTTTATGTCTTGTTCAATTTTCACAGTCTTACTAAAATAAATGACATCTCAAATGACAGGTTTTATTATTCAACTTGTTCAATTTTCACAGTCTTACTAAAATAAATGACCTATCTTAAATGGCAGGCTTTATTATTCAACTTGCCAAGATCCTGCAAGCATATTGTAGAGACAGAATATTTATTAAATATTGAGAAATGAAATGCTGATAATGTCAGCAATGCATGTTTACTTTAGAGGCCAGTAAAATTACCTTGCTTATGGTGACTCATGGATTGATTCTTAACCATGTAGGCATATTGTGCCTTGGCTCCTGAATGTAATTTACAGAACAACAGCAAATCATTATCAGATGCAGTGACACTCTATGGTCTGTGTTACAGAAATACATAAAGAACATACAGGCACTTTTGCCACAGCAGACCAATAGATCAACCATATCTGATGGTTGCTCCCCATAACTATCATTCAATAATGGTTAATCATACTGCATCTTTACATTTAAATTCCACAGAACCATTGTGATACCAGCCAACAAGACAGCTGTCCACCATGCATATCTCAAATCATTTCTTAATGTTATTCATCCCATTACTCTAGCTTTAGCTAATCAGCTGTTTTATAAGGAACTGCTTTACTTTGGCTAATTTATGAAAACTGGGGAAAAATCTAATCAAAACATGAGGAAACAACATTAATAGAGAGTCAGTATGGTGTATTAGTTTGAGCACTGAACAACAACTCTGGAGACCAGGGTTTGGAGGTCTGTACAGCTGCAGAAACCCTTTGGTTGGGTTATTCACACATTCTCTCAGACTCAGGGGAAGACAAATGGCTTAGGACTGTTGAGACCTGGGAATTCAGCAGTTTTAGTAGGAGGACGTTAGGTTCCACACTCTAGTACATATTTATAACAAAAATAGAAAACCTAAAACTGAAGAACAGAATATATCCATTCTTATTTTCTTCAGATGCTCTCAATGAAAGCATACTGTACTTAAGATGGCAGTTACAGAAAACAGAAGATGATATAGGTAAAGCTAAAGGTTTTCCCCTGACGTGTTCGACTCTGGGAATTGGTGTTCATCTCCATTTCTAAGCCAAAGAGCTGGTGTTGTCCATAGACATCTCCCAGGTCACGTGGCCAAAATGACTGCATGGAGCACCGTTACCTTCCCACTAGAGCATTACCTATTGATCTACTCACATATGCATGTTTTTGATCTGCTAGGTTGGCCGAAACTGGGGCTGACAATGGAAGCTCACGTTGCTCCCCAAATTCAAACCTATGACTTTTGGTCAACAAGTTTAGCAGCTCAGCGGTTTAACCCACTGCACCACCGAGTATATTCCACAATAAATGTATAATGCTCAGCAGGTTTTTTTCTAGGTTGAAACCAAGTGACATTAGTTGCTAAGGCTATTCAGACAGTATATTAAAACTCTATACATAGAATATACATAGAATACAGACCTCTGTACATGCTGAAATCTGATGGTATTTCTATTCCCACCACTTAATAATCAATATGCTATGATGTGCTAAGTTAAAGTCCCACAATACTGGCTGTTTAAATTTATCTGTTAAGATCTATGGTTTCTGAATCATATTCCCAGACCATTGTTATTTTATCTACCTTTTTAAAATTATATAGAAGGTGTTTGCAGTCAATGATATAATTAGATTGCATAACCTTCCATTCACATTCTAGATCTTGTTAATTACAATGCTCTTAAAGATGAGTGTTTTCCTGAGATTCCCTTATGTGAGGTAGCACTTCATTTCACCAGGATTGGTCATCTGACTCGTAGTCTCTATAAATTTGGAGACTGTCAGAGAGTAAGCTTTCTGATAAATTAGCAAGCTGCTCAAGAGCTTGACAGCTTTTCTTAACTGACATGTTACTGCCAGGAGATGGAAATTAAATATAATGTTGTTCTTTTTTGCTTAACTCATATTTTATGGGAATGTTTTTCTATTCACACACACATAGACACACACACACACACACACACTTCAGGCAAAAGGGAAGATTCTTACTGAACATCTAGCAACTGCTACATCTCTGTTTCAGCATTTTCAAACATAAGCATCCTGAACAAATTTCAAGATAAAACAAATTACTGTGTCTTGGAACAATCATCCTTAAAAATTAGCCATGAAACTTAATCCTGTATTGTATAAGATGTAACTGTTGTCAAAGTGAACCTGGGCAGAGTCCAAAAAATCGTCAAGTTAAGCATTGACATAAAGGAGAAGCTGGTAATACCATCACAGTCAATTTCAAATGACAGAAAATAATTGTTGAAACATTATTATAAGGACAATTTAAGAGGAACAAACTTCAGATTACTAAAAGCCAGTACAACAGAAAGAGAAAAATCTATGGCACCAATTAGAGTAGCCACAGACAAACTAATAGGACACTACCACAAATAATTAACAGAGCCTATTCTACAAAATAAGCAAGATCTTCTTGTAAAAACAGAAGTGGCTCCACTTGAAGAACAGATTTCTGATTGATTCATCTGTACAAGGATGTTACAAAGATCTAGAATCAAACTAAAGGAGAAGATGAAATACTTTCCTTATGATGGTTATAGTATATGAGGCCTTTTTGATATAATTTAGGTAAGGGGAGCATAATAAAGTATTACATACATATGATATAGGGAAGTGGAAAAATATTTATTTTCACCTTGGGCAACAAAACTACTAATTCAGGGGGCCTCAAACTTTTTAAACATGGTCCCTCAGACTATTTTGGGGGTGGGGGGACGGGGACTATAATTTGAAAAAAAATGAACTAATTCCTATGCACACTGCACATTTTATTTGTAGCGCAAAGAATAAACAATGAAAGAACAATTGAAAACGAAGAACAATTTTGACCAACATAAACTTCCCAGTATTTCAGTGGGGCCTGCTTTTGATTGATGAGATAGTCAAGTTAGTTAGGATTGCTATTTTTATGTCCCTTCAAGTCGTTTCAGACTTAGGTGACCCCAAATCCAAGATTTGGGCTGGGGCTGGGTAAATGACATGGGGGGGAGACAATCCAGCCCACTGGCCTTAGTTTGGGGACCCCTAACCTAATTAAACAGGTCAGAATTTGACTGAGATAAAAGTAAAACAAATAACTTCACATAGTATGTATTTCTATCTTGATTGTATTTTTCTTTAATTTTTTTTATAAGTCTATGATTGCTAAGTCCGTGATTGGAGGAAGGAAGGATTAATTAGATATCGTATATATTGTGATATTGTATATATTGTAAACTTTTAATTAAAGTCTTAATTAACTTCATAAAATTTGTAGAATTCATTGTTGTAAGATGTGATGATGACCATTGCGTTAGATCAGGGCTTCTTGAACTTTTTCCACTCATGATCCCTTTTCCCCCCCAAGAAATTTCAGAGTGATGCCAAGTGTATAAATACCGTAAGTATAAAATTCAACATTTACTGATAATAGGCTTTTTAAATAGGCTGGTTTTCCTTTTTATGAAGCACAGCTAAAGCATTTTCTACAGAGTAAACACTGAATTTTGCTGCTAACAGATGTGTGTCAACATGTGGGATTCAGAACCCTTTTACTATTGGCAATTTTTGCAAACCCAACATTGGCCCATTTGGGGTCAGGATTAACAGTTTAAGAGCAGGGGTTTATTTTCAAAGTGTTAAATAATACATGGGACTGAAATGTAGATAAAATGTGATGTTTCTCATTCTTTTGTTTCAACAAAAAAAAGGCAGTTTTGTGATTCTGGGGGGCTTGAAAATCACAAAAACATCATTTAAAAAACAACTGTACAGTCCCAGGACTGCACTTTGCCAATTGCTTTCTAATTCATTGAGCACAGGTATAATAATAATAATGAGCCATCTGTTTAAATGAAACATGTAGGTTCAAGGGCAGCATGCTTTTCAATGCTATTTAGCAGGAGGTGGCAAACTGATTTTTGTGTTCATGCTTGGCTATATGATTCTCAAAATATCTGGTTGACCAGTTGGAAGCATAATCCTGGACTAAACTGATTTTTTGGACTTCCAAATTCCAGAAGGGTGACCATATCCCACCCAGATTGTTAGCAGCTGAGGTTAATACAGAAGAGAAGTTTTAGATTTTGCATTTTTATTTTAACTGCTACTTCTGTTTCCTTCTAACTGGAAGTTTTCTGACATCATGCTAGAATCTGAAAACACAGTGAATTATACCAAAATAAAACAGCACACGTCAACACAATGATATATTTACCTTCCATACTGCGTTCAGGTATGCTGGGAATGTTACAATAAAATTTGGCTTCATAAATAGGATCTATGGCAGGTGGCTCTGTCAGTGGATTTGGCATAATTCTCTTTCGATTCTTAGAATTCAAACCATCTTCTTTAACCGGATTAATGGGGATCAAGTGTACTAAAAAAGATACAAAAAAAGCAATATTCATGCCTGGATTATTTTAATGCTAGATCACTGATTTGAACAACTCTCAGCAGGTTAGTTTACATGTAATACATAAATATAAAAGAACAAAAGATTGCCGATATAAAACCTATTTAGACTGGTGGTGCAACTTCTAATCAGCTAGTATTCTTGTTCTGCATTAAACCAGAACACCTTGTTGAATAAAGATGCACTTCGCACATGTGTGTGTGTCAGGAGCAACTTGAGAAACTGCAAGTCACTTCTGGTGTGAGAGAACTGGCCATCTTCAAGGACTTTGTCCAGGGAACGCCCGGATGTTTGATGTTTTACCATCCTTGTGGGAGGCTTCTCTCATGCCCCCGCATGGGGAGCTGGAGCTGATAGAGGGAGCTCAACCCACTCTCCCTGAATACAAACTGCTGACCTGTCAGTCAGCAGTCCTGCAAGCACAAAGGTTTAACCCACTGCAGCACTGGGGGCTCCTAGTCTCCGCACTAAACTAGGTAGATGATTTGTGTCTCAAAGGACTTCAGTTTGCAGAAAAGGGAGAGTCTTGAGAACCAAATTCTAATTTCTTTTCACTTAAGATACTATTTTCCTACATTTTCAGGATGTTTAATATTTTTCTTCCAGCCCAAGCTACTGTAGAAATAAGCTATAATTTCCAATATATGAGTATCCCAGCAAGAGTGAAAACCAAAAAATGTAGGAAAGAAACACGCACAACCATAACCAGATCCTGTCCTCAGAAATGTTTTCCAGTCCCAGAGTGTTTAAAATTACAATTTCAATAATACACATGTATCTCTACCAACCCTCCTCTAATTATAAGTAAAAGGAGCCATGCTACATATATTGGAATAGTGAGCTCTTTCCCCTCCCCCAGCATCCACTGCTGTTAATAGAAAACATTCGCATTTCAATAGCTAAAATATATACACTGCAACATTTCGTTTAAACAGTGCTATTGAAAAAGAAAAGATGCAATACAAAACACCAAATCAAAGTTAAATCACTGAATTCAAGTTTCATGTATTTAGAATTGACTGCAAAATACTAAGGTGTGTTTTCCTTATGTCTGGAGTGCAAGTATTAGACTAGTAACCCATACAAGCATTATAAAAGAGCATAGCAGAAAGAAAAGCAATGCAGTCAAATCACCATGTTTAGACCAGACTAAATATTTACCTAAAATTAGAAGAAAAGAAATCATATCGGTTTCCCTTTTTCTTTTACCTCCCCAACGCCAACTGTTACAAAAGGAATAAGCACTGCGAGCAGCCATCTTAGCCAGGATTTTCCACCTTGAAGGTTCGTTTCAGACACAGAAGGCTCTTTCAGTTCCATGCAACCAAACTATTTAAAACTATTTTGAATGCCCTGAAACTACAGTATTTTTTTTAAAGAGGTTACGTGGCACATTTTCACCAGTTAAAAACAAAAAACATACACATTAGTTATTCTGGTTAATTATCTCACTTTTACTTCCCTGACCCCAATGCTGTTTTTATGGTTTTTCCAAAATCTGCAAGGGAATTGTCACTTTGTTAAAATAAGTATAAAACATTTCACTTGCATGAAGTAAAATCTGTAAGAGAACAAGTACAGCATCACAGTACAAGACAGAAATAGGCTATATAAGGAAAGGGGTAAATTGCTAACAGCCATACAAAGAGCAGCCTGCAACAGACAGATAAGGTGCATATGGATTAGAACATTGTGAGAGTATAGCAGTAACAATTTGGAAGACATACTATCCTTGAAATACACTACAGAAATTCTTCCCACCTGTTCTTGCTGTCACTTACATACCAATGACTACACGACATCTTTATGTTAATCTATTATTTAAATTTAATGCTGGTATCTAATTTGAGTTACGCATTGTGGTGAACTGTGAACACACATAGGACAGTGTAACCCATCTTAGTCAGCAGAAGGCAAACTATTTGTGCAGGTTCCCTCAGGCTGCCTGTTTCTTATGAAAATTCAGAGGTGGCATGTCTTTCTCTGAAATATGATCTACAGTACCTGGTATTTCCTGGCACTAGCTCATCCTGGTCCTAACAAGGTCTGACCCTGCTTAGCTCTGAAGATGAGATGGGAGATGTTGCCTTCAGAGCAAAATTTAGTAAACTAACATTCCCAAGCTGAAAAGGATGTTCCAGAGGATGGAGCCCACCATTTTGAGTGCTAACTACCAGAAATCAGAAAAATAATCTGCAAGTTAAGTATCCTTTATCTGAAATGCTCAGGACCAGAGGTGTTTGGGGTTTTCTTCTCCAGATTTGGGAACACCTGTACAGTCAGCTCTCACACCTGCTGTCATGGATCCATATCTGGTGTGTTTTAGACACCTCTAAGCCATGAGTTCCATAGCCCAGGTAAATATCAGGAGGCCCAGTAAAGCAGGGAGCCTAATAACATAAACTGGCTCAAGACAGAGGAACTTTCATGAGTTGAGAGGGTGGGCTTTTGGGATTGAAACTGAGAAGTTGCCCACATTTTCTTTTATTCATAACTTTGATGTATGGTAGTAGCATTAAATAAATTTCCAAGATTTCCTTGTGAGTTGAATTTAATTGTTACCAAGGTTTTGCCATCATCACATCTGCTTTGGTTAGGGGCACAAGCCCCCCCCCCCAAAAAAAAAGAGTGGAAAAACTGCATATAAAAGAAACCAATTTTTTTAAAAAAACATTTCTCTAAGAATCTCTAGATCAGTGGTTCTCAACTTGTCCACAGATGTTTTGACCTTCAACTCCCAGAAATCCTAACAGCTGGTAAACTGGCTGGGATTTTGGGAGTTGTAGGCCAAAACACTTGGGGACCCACAGGTTGGGAACCATTGCTCCAGATCCTCCAGTACAACTCTATGCTAGAAGCAGACCATAGAGTCACCCTGGAGGTCCTAGAGATTCCTAGAGAGAACATATTAAATCCATGAATAATCAAATTCACAGAATTGACTGGCAAGCATGGAGGGACATATGTATTTGCATGCATATACACAATGGGAGCAGAGGATAAGTTCAACTAGCCCCAGATGTGATGACGCAGCTAGCTCAAAGCCCAAAGGAAGGCTAGCGGCTGACGGTACTGGAGGTGAACGACGAATCCGATGCTCTAAAGATCAACACACCATAGGAACCTGGAATGTAAGATCTATGAGCCAGGGCAAATTGGATGTTGTTATTGGTGAGATGTCAAGACTAAAGATAGCCATTCTGGGGGTCAGCGAACTGAAATGGACTGGAATGGGCCACTTCACATCAGATGACCACCAGATCTACTACTGCGGACAAGAGGAACATCGAAGAAATGGAGTAGCCTTCATAATTAATAAGAAATTAGCTAAAGCGGCGCTTGGATACAACCCAAAAAATGACAGAATGATTTCAATTCGAGTGCAAGGAAAGCCTTTCAACATTACAGTGATCCAAATATATGCCCCAACCACAGCTGCTGAAGAAGCAGAAGTAGATCAGTTCTATGAGGATCTGCAGGACCTACTGGATAATACACCAAAAAGAGACATTATTTTCATTACAGGAGACTGGAATGCCAAGGTGGGAAGTCAAATGACAACTGGGATCACAGGCAAGCATGGTCTGGGAGAAAAAAATGAAGCGGGACGCAGGCTGATAGAATTTTGCCAGGAAAACTCGCTGTGTATAACGAATACTCTCTTCCAACAACCTAAAAGACGGCTTTATACATGGACCTCACCAGATGGTCAACACCGAAATCAGATTGACTACATCCTTTGCAGCCAAAGGTGGCGGACATCCATCCAGTCGGTGAAAACAAGACCTGGGGCTGACTGTAGCTCAGATCACGAACTCTTATTGCCCAATTTAGAATAAAACTAAAGAGATCAGGGAAAATACACAGACCAGTTAGATATGATCTCACTAACATTCCTAGCGAATATACAGTGGAAGTGAAGAACAGATTTGAAGGACTAGATTTAGTAAACAGAGCCCCAGAAGAACTATGGACAGAAGTCCGCGACATTGTTCAGGAGGCGGCAACAAAGTACGTTCCAAAGAAAAAGAAAACCAAGAAGGCAAAATGGTTGTCTGCTGAGACACTGGAAGTAAGCCCAAGAAAGGAGGAAAGCAAAAGGAAACAGTGAAAAGGGGAGATATGCCCAGTTAAATGCGCAATTCCAGAGGTTAGCCAGAAGAGATAAGGAACTATTTTTAAATAAGCAATGCATGGAAGTGGAGGAAGACAACAGAATAGGAAGGACAAGAGACCTCTTCCAGAAAATTAGAAACATTGGAGGTAAATTTCAGGCAAAAATTGGTATGATAAGAAACAAAGATGGCAGGGACCTAACAGAAGCTGAAGAGACCAAGAGAAGGTGGCGAGACTATACAGAAGATCTGTATAGGAAGGATAATAATATTGAGGATAGTTTTGACGGTGTGGTGAATGAATTAGAACCAGACATCCTGAGGAGCGAGGTTGAATGGGCCTTAAGAAGCATTGCTAACAACAAGGCAGCAGGAGATGACGGGATCCCAGCTGAACTGTTTAAAATCTTAAAAGATGATGCTGTCAAGGTGATGCATGCCATATGCCAGAAAATATGGAAAACACAAGAATGGCCATCAGACTGGAAAAAATCAACTTATATCCCCATACCAAAAAAGGGAAATGCGAAAGACTGCTCAAACTTCCGTACAGTGGCCCTTATTTCACATGCCAGTAAGGTAATGCTCAAGATTCTGCAAGGAAGACTCCAGCAATACATGGAGAGAGAGTTGCCAGATGTTCAAGCTGGGTTTAGAAAAGGCAGAGGAACGAGAGACCAAATTGCCAATATCCGCTGGATAATGGAGAAAGGCAGGGAGTTTCAGAAAAACATCTACTTCTGCTTCATTGACTATTCTAAAGCCTTTGACTGTGTGGATCATAATAAATTGTGGCAAGTTCTTAGTGGGATGGGCATCCCAAGCCACCTTGTCTCTCTCCTGAGGAAT